GTGACCTGGATATCAGCCGTTGGGGGCCAGCCAGATAGTTAGCAGCGTAGGCAAGCAGCCACTCACTATAAATGTGGTAAATATGCAACAGTAGATAGGAAATCGCTTACCGTACTCTGGAGCTACGTTACAGTACGCACGAAACGGTACCTCGATACAAGCCATAGATAGTCTCGATTAGTAGGATCCGAATGCCTATCCTTGGTTCAGCTGGATATCAGATATCAGTCGGAGTAAGTAACAAAGAAATGTAAAAATCTATAAAAAGTATACCAGTATTATCAACGAATTTTAACCATTTTCTTCTTTTTTTTCATTATATCTATATTTATTTCCTCACGGGCACATTCCTCTTTTCCAGGAATATGCTGTTGGGCGAGGAGCGGTTCAGCGCCCTCCGCCAGCGTGTCGCCCTCCCGCAACGAAAATGGCGCCTGGTCTGCCAGTTTTGCTTTTATTTACAAAGCCTTTCTCAGGAGCTAAGCCAAAACATGTGGCGCTCCGAGCAGCTGACCCATCCGGCCGAAGCCATCTTCCGCGCCCGAATCCTCAATGACGATGGGGATGGTGGGGGTTTTTAAGTTTAATTTTTAGCTAATTTCAAACTTTTAGAAACCGCTGGAGCGCTGGCAGAACGCCGCTGGCTTGATCCCGACGCCGGGGAACCGACTTTTCGGTGAGAAAAGTTTAAAAAGATTGTTTAGGTTGAGATAGGCTTTAGCGATTCGAAAAACTTGGAATTCAGTGTACCTTACAAAACGTTATTTTTGACGTTAAGTATCCGCGAAACGTTTTGGAAAGTGCTAAAGCCGAAATTTACAACGAATTTGTAGATTTTTGACCGATTAATCGATATTTTGTTCAGCTTTCCATGAAATTATCAAGTTTTATGTTTGGCAATAGTAAATATAAAAAATTACGATCTATTAAAAATCAGCGAAAATAAAGATATGAGATCCCCGAGAATAAAAAAATCACCATTATACGATTTTTACTTCCAGCCTCGACGAGACGGGCCCGATCATTAAAATGCTGAAAAAGGCCCGCGCTGACCAGGATGATGTGCAGAAACGGGGTACGAATCTAGCGGCCCGAAACTAATTCTCATTTCTCAGGCTCGTCCCGCCACGCCGAGGTGAGCGTTGTGTTGCGCGTGCGCAAGGCCGACTTCATCACTGGCTCGGAATGGCTGGAAGCCGCCCCGCAACCGCCCGACCCGCTCGATTTCCGCTTCCGCGCCCTCGTGGATACGTCAGTTTGTTTTGGAGGACTATGAAATTTATAGATGCTGAAAAATGCCTAGAAATCCCTCAAATACTCAGCTTTCGGGCTATAAAACCCAGCGCGGAATGTTTTATGCTATTCGAAAAGCCCGAAAAATTGCGTGTGCGTAATTTGGTTTTTCTCTTTCCGTTTTCGGCGTTTTTATAAAGGGCAAATGTCACTGGCATCTAATTTCTGTACGAAGCTCCCCAAAAAAGAGTTTCAAACTTCCCAAGCGATGCTTCAATTTAAAACCCTAGGCGCACGTAGCCTCTTCAAAGTCTACATTTACGAAAAGGTCCAATGACGGCGTTAAAAACACGCGTAAGCCTATGCCATTTCTACGCTAGCAAAATGACGGTTTTGGGCTTATGAATGGTACAAAAATTATTACGATCCCAGCTTTTGCCTTGGAGATAAAGAAATTATCCTTTTTTTGTGTGAAACCCTATATAAACGCCTTCAGCACCCAACACGACATTACGCTGCGGTGTCGCGACGGCGTGGTGACGGCTTCTCGGCAGGCCCTCTACTACTCGTCCGTCTATTTTCGCAGGGTTCGTCGAGGATCAGCGAATGTCACGCCAAAATCCGCCTGCTTTCAGCGCCTGATGGAACCGGATGTGGGGGATGAACTGCACGAAAGCTCGCCGTGCATCATCGTCAAGCAGGTAAATTTTGGCTGTTTTTCCGACTCAAATGTGAGGTATTCTGACACCGTCACAAGGCGAACATTTTAGTACACTTTACTGGCCTGTAGCATAAAGGGCCGCAGAGATTTGCCCAAAAAAAGAAGAAAAACGTCTAGGCGCTGGCGTTCATGCTGACGACGACATTCGCCCACCCCGGCGACATGACCGTCGACCACGCCGAGGAGTTGATCAACATCAGCCTCATGTAACTGACCTAAACGCCCATGACTTTCATTTAGCTACCAGCCGATTCGCCGAAATGCTCTCGTCACCGCCATCGAGCGCCACCTCTTTGGCCAGTTGGACAAGGTCCGCGGAGCTTCAACTTTGACACATCTTTTTTAGGCAAAAGACAACCTGCCGCTCCTCCTCCAATACTTCCTGCTCGGCTACAAGTGGCGCCTCGAGCGATTGCCCACGGTAAGAACCGCTAGGAAAGCGTTTTAGAACGCTGAATCGGGATGAAAAATAAAAATTAGACTTTTTGGTACCATTAAAAATCCGAAAAGCGAAGGTTTAGGTTTGCTAGATAAAAAATGTTTTTTTTATTTACGTAGCCGAGACTATAACGTAGCGATAAGGGTGGTTGTTGGACCTAAGTTTTCCGGTTTTAGGCGTGTAGTACCCTGATCTTCATGCATCACCAGGGGCGATTACGCATTGGCAAACTATGCACACGCTACCGCCACCACGCCCATCAGCGTACGTTTCCTATGAAAATTAAACGAAAATAAAATAACATCTTTTAGCGCACCCACCAGGAACTGCTCGACCAGTTGCACGCGCCGCGTAACCCGTTCCGCATGGCACCGCATGTAGGCAGAGAGAGGGAGAGCGAGAAACAGAAACACTAACTTGTTCATCTACCGTTTTCAGAGCCAAACTCGTCGGGCTGATCCCGTACGCGCAACCGGTCCAAGTCATCGCCCAATAAATCGCCTCGAATCGATCAATTTTCTCATGGACTTAATAAAAGTTATACGATTTCCCCGCTTTTCCCACATTACAAAACCAATCGTTATCAATTATCTACGCCTTTCATGACGACGACCTCCGGTTGAAAATCCCAGCAATGGGTTCTTATTTGAATTTGAATAGGATCTGTGATTTTACATATTGGCCGGAAACGCAATTGCTGAATGAGTTCATGATTATAAAATAACCTTTCTGCGCTTCTGGCCATATATTCCGAAATGGTGCCCCCGACGTCGGCCGCTTGCCCTCTCGGGTCGAAGCTTGGATGTCTGCCATGCTCCAAGAAGAAGTTGGTTTTGCATAAAACATTTCTATTCCCCCATTCAAGCACCTGAAAATCCCGTTTGTAGCATGGGCCTGTACGTCGTCACGGGGCTGGCGGTGGGCGCTGTCACGGCTTCGGCGTCGTCTACTACTTCTACCAGCGTGGATGCGGGGGGGGAGGGAGGCGACGCACCGACAACTGGGGTATTTCATCCATTATTTTGATTCGTTTCGCCGACTTTCACTTCGCTGGATGTTGATTTCGCCGGATTTCAAGTCGCGAAATGTTGTTTCTGAACGCGAATATGTTTAACTATTTTTTTGACTCGAAAAGACGTTCGCATTCTTATTAAAACACTAAATTACGCGCTTGTAATGATAATTGATTTGACTACGAGCATAATTAGCGTGGAAAACTGCCTTTGGCGCATAGAAATTTGGTGAAATGAGCATTCGGATAGACAAAAATTCGGTTAAATGGAACTCCTGCATGAAAATACGGCTAGCTAAAATTCAGCTAAATAAGCATTCGCCCTTTCAACATCACTATAACGATACCTTTGCAGTGCGCGACTGCGTGCTCGGTATCGTCGAGCAGCACCACTTCCTCCGCCACGGGCAACAAGCCGACGAGCCGCAAGAAGCGCCCGCGCAGCCTCAAGGTGAGCCGCAGTGCCGCCGACCGCATGAGCAAGGCTTTGCGCGAGGTTTGCAGCCCAACACGAGAATTCAACGTTTTTCAGTCGGACGGGCCCAAGTCGCCGAAGCCCGAGGGCACCAGCTCGGCCAACGTGTCCACCTGCTCGCTGCCGCCGCCTGGTAAGGTTTTTATCCTCAAAGTAGCCTGAAATCCTACAGGATCAATTCCTCGCACGCCGTTATTACCTGAAAGTAGAGATGTTATTATTCAAATCAAAGCTGAGGATTTGAAAGTTTCTCAAATCAAATCCAGATTTGATTTGATTTACCGGCAGAATCAAATCAAATCGGATTCGATTTGAACCGGAAGTCCAATTCAAATCAAATCCTGGACCGATTTGATTTGATTAATTTGAGCAACCCAAATTTCCGAAGCAAATGCGAGAAAATGGATGCTTATCAGCAATTTCCGGTTTAGGCTACGGTTTACTTTACCCCCCCAGCCGGAAGGTTTTGGCTATAACTTTTTTATTTTACATTATTGTAGCCTCAGGTGAAAACTCTTAGTATATTTTTCGACGCTCTATCGAATGGCGTTGCGAAAATGCCGACAAAATAAGCGGAAATACCGACAACTTTGAGACCCTTCGGCTGTGGGGGGGGGTAAAGTAAACTCTTACCCCGGTTTATTCAATGATGATCATATGCAAAAAAAAATCAAAATTTCCGTATTTCCCTACATTTTTTGGTGCTCGACTTGTGATTTACATCCGTAAAAATGACTCCAGATTTGAAAGTTTCTCAAATCAAATCTCGATTTGATTGGAAAGTCCAGCCAGTTTCAAATCAAATCCAGACCAGGGTTGAAAAGCCGCTTCGCGACTTTTCAACCCTGGCCCCGTCTGCCCCTAAAATATTCTTCACTTTGTATGATTTTCCTGGATTCCGATAAGCAAAAAATGAAAAGTGTTTCCTCTTTCCCGTTATATAGGCGATCGCCATTTCCGGCGCATGCTAATTGATTCCTAACAAAGAGAGTCTCCAATTTTGCAACAAAAACTTAAATTTAATAGCGAAAATAGGTGATTTTGTTAAATATCATCTGTGTGCAGTCATCTTTTGACCATTTCGCACCTAATGACGTATCGAACATACCCCTAAGTACTTTCCTTCTTGAGATACTACTGGAACACGGTGACGGAAGTTGTATGCAAAGTGGCACAGACACACACACAAACACTATTTTTTTATATATGGTAGGATTTGATTTCGGCGGAATCAAATCTCAAATCTTCTTATTCAAATCAAATAGGATTTGAGTAGGATTTGATTTGAATAATAACATCTCTACCTGAAATCATT